CTTTCCTTCTCATGCCTTCTTTGCTTCCTGTCCTGTCCTTCCTCCCCTTCCCTTTCTGCTCTCTCTTCATTGCTGTCCTGCCCTCGCCACTTCTTTCTGCTCTTCTTTGCCTCCCCCTGTCTTGTCCCCTGCCCTTTATTACTGAGCACAGTTTTCCTTTCCGTTCTTATTTTCTCTCCCCCGTCTCTCCTCCCTTTTTCTCTTCTCTCCTCTCTATCTATCTGGACTCGGAGCCCGGGGCTCCTCCCCTCAGGCCCCAGTGGTCCATTCTCATTAAACTTGACAATCTCTCATATGTCAATTAGAAAGAGGCAGCTCCCGCCCCAGCGTGCTCTCCCCCCCTTGCCATTCTCTCCCTCCCCTTCCTAGGCCCGCCACGATGCTCAGATGAAGCACCATCTGTTGCATTCATCCAGGCGACGAGTGAGCATTTCGCTGCTTTGGGGAGGCAGAGCTCAGTGGGTACCAGGAGGTAATGTGGCTTGTTTGGACAACTTGATATATTGATATTGATAGAGCTATACATTGGGATTGAGAGGGATGGGGCGGGTCAGAGAGTGGTATGCAGGATGAAATAGGCCATAGAGAGGTTTGCACAAGCACTTCCCCTTTCAGTCTGCCTGGGCTCTTGGCATTGCCGCCAAGGCAAGAACAGCCAAGCAGATGGAAGGGATTTGCTACAGTCGGGATCAGAAACCTTGCATCACAGGGGAGCAAACCTTCCCTCTCTCTATAGCATCATCTCTTCCAAGCCAGTCTAATCTGCATTGGCTTCGAAGAAAGTAAAGCGGAAGTGACAGGATGGGGAGAAGCCTTTAGGAATTGCTGAATGTCAGAGCCATGATGAAAAGGGACGATGCTTCAGTCAAGGTTCTAGCTGGACAAGGTTCTAGAAGGTACCCTCAGATGATATTTTTTTAGGAGAAAGTCAACGAGGTGACTATTATAGAGGTGTAGGCAGAGTGAGGAAATCAACATGGGGGCATGGAGGAACCAGGGACAAGAACGATCAGGAAAGCACCACCAAGTCTTAGAACTGAAGGGGCAGGGAGAGGAAATGATTTTGTGGGAGACTGTGAGAACAGAATCTATGGAAAAGGGGTCCTGGAAGAAGCTGGAAAGGACCAGGGTCCCAGTGTCTATCAGAAATAGGTGCAGGGACAGGAAAGGGCAAGGGACGAGATGCCCCCACATTTTCTCCTTCCACCTCCTGCCAGAGCATCCCACCAAGCAAACCCAGGGAGGGTCTGCTTCCGGGAGAGTGTGGGGCAGAATGAGCCTGGGGATGGAGGATGGATCTGGGGGTGCAAACAGAGAACAGACAGTGTAGATTAGGGATTCATGTGCTCTGTTGCCTGGACTGAGCCACACTACACACCTTTTCCAAGGAACACATGGATAGTCTCCACAGAGCCATTTCTCCTGTGAGTGCGAGACCCACATCGCTTGGCGTCTACGCAGCACCTCCACTTAGACACCACAGAGTTTTCCTGTCTAACACATGTTCTCTTCCAGGGCTCCTCCTCAAATTGAGAGGCACCATCATTCAGCCTCTGTGGGTGCCAGAAGACCAGGAGTCGCCCTCCATACTGCCCTCTCCCATCCACCTTTTCCAGTCAGTCACCTCGTTTGGAGGGACTTATACCTAAAAATAACTTGCACATTTGCCCACTTCCCTATCTCTACTAATCTACTGCTTCTGTGTCTCCTCTCTCTGCTATTCTACCTGCCTCTCTGTCTAACTCTACTACCCTATCCAGGCTCCCATCGTTTCATATGTGAGCTTCTGCGCCATCTTCCCAGTCCATCTTCTCACTTCATTTTCCGCCCTTCTCCAGTGAATTCTCTCTGCTGCCGGAAGGAGCTTCCCTAAATGAAAATATGACCACTTCAGACTCCAATCTAAAACCTTCAGCATGTTCTATCGTTAACAAGGCCCAGAAGGGTTAGGGTTAGGGTTTTAGGGTTAGGATTAGGGTTAGGGTTAGGAGTAGACATCTTCAACACCATCTCAGGCCACTTGCTTGCAGTGGCTCATGCCCAGTGGCTATTGCAGCGCCATTTGATATTCCTCCTCCTAAGGCAGCGGTTCTCAACCTGTGGATCGTGACCCCTTTGGGGGTCGTACGACCCTTTCACAGGGGTCGCCTAAGACCATCGGAAAACAAAAAGATACTTACATTATGATTTATAACAGTAGCAAAATTACAGTTATAGAGTAGCAACGAAAATAATTTTATGATTGGGGGTCACCACAACATGAGGAACTGTATGAAGGGGTCGCGGCATTAAGAAGGTTGAGAACTGCTGTTCTAAGGGGTCTTTGTTTCGACTCTTCACTCTGCCTCTTTTGCTCTTTCCACATCATTCCCTGACCCCTGTCACTTCTTTCCCACCTGATTAACTCATACTTTTCTCAGGACTTCACGCTGCTCACTTCCTTAAAAACAGTTTCCATGACTTTCCTAGACTGAGTCATATCCCTCTTACACAGAGCCTCTTACATCATCTTTCAGCTTTCCTTCCTTGTATATATCGGTAATTTCATTAATATTGGCCTCCCTGTCTGTATGGTGGGCATCGTGAGGGGGTTTTGTTTGTTTGTTTTCACCATTGTACCTTATTATGAACTGCATGCTTGTGTCCCCCGCAAATTTGTATATTAAAGTCTTTCTGTTCAGTGTGATGAGGTATTAATCTCCTTGGGCTGCCATAACAAAACGCCATAGATTGGGTCGCTGAAACAACAGAAATGAATTGTCTCACAGTTCTGGGGACCAGAAGTCTAAGATCAGGACGCCAGCATGGCTGGGGGCTGGCTTTTAGATGGTTGCCTCGTCACTGTGCTCACGTGGCCTTTCGTCTCTGTGTACCCATGGAGAGTCTCTCCCTCATTTTTACGAAGACACCGATCCTATTGAATTAGGCCCCCACCCTGATGACGTCATTTACCTTTATCTACTAAAAGCCCAATCTCCAAATGCAGCCACTTTGAGGCTTAAGGCCTCAACTTAGGAAATTTGCGGGTACAGAGTTTAATCCACAGCAGACCGTACGCTGAATTGCTCTGGAGTTTTGACCACAGGATAGCACAGCTCCTACAATCTGTGGTAAATCACTCTCCTGTCTGGGTCTGAAGCATCAGTATTGGGCATGACAGTGCTTCTCAGAACAGGACCGTAGCCACTCGCTCGAGGGCTCCGCATCACGGGCTTAGAGTAGGGACCCACGTTTGGGATCTTCTTGGCTCACCTTTACGTAGACCTAATTGACGTATCTGCAGAGAGGGATAGCAAGACAGGCGTGTGAGGACGTTATAATGTTACCACATGGTTTGTCTGTATTGTAAATTCACTTTTCCTTAGCATAGATTCCCCACTGTGTCCCCAAAGATGGGGCTTCTCACAGAGCCCAGTGCCCAAACCAGCCTTCTGGGTACGAGCTACCCTGCCGACACATCCATCTAAGCTGATGGCTTTCCTGGGAAAACAGGAGCTGCTTAGAAACTGGTGTTGCTATGTCACCAAGCCTTCTTTGTCCTGTCTCGTGGAACCCCTTCAAAGAAACAGGAACCTGTGGCACGTCCCATCTCTTGGCATCAGACCGCAGGCAGCGTAAACTGAAGAAATAGCCTTGCCTCTAAAGATGTGGATGGAGGGAGGGCTGAGTTTGAAGATTTCAAAGCCGGGTCTCTCTTTGGGAATGTCTCAGAACAAAGGCACTGAGGCCATTCAGCCATGTTCCTTTTCTTCCTTCTCCTTCCCTCTCCTTGCCTTTTATGTGGCCTTTCTCCTTCCTTCTCAAGCTTTTCTGCTTTTTTTTTTCTTTTATCTTTTAACCTTTTCTCTCTGCCCTCCTGACTGTACTCTCTCCATTGTCTGGAACTTTCTAGTATTTTCTGGTTTGAAATTTTGTGGCTACTAACAAATCACTGGATGGTATAGATACAGTGGAACATTGGACTAGGAATTAGAAGGCTTGACTTTGCCACTTTCTAGCTTGGACTAAGCCGTATGCTTTGTTGGGGGTGGGGTGGGGGGGGATGCTGATTTCTTTAAGTAAATTTACTGAAGTAAAATAGTGATATTGTAACCAAGTGATCTACGTATCACAGTACTGCAGTTTTGTCTCCTACAATTTTGTCCGACCCACATACTGCTGCTATCTACCCTCGCTGTACTGTTCTGGCTCAGTCCACCATTGTCTCCGGCTGGCTCCTGCAAAAGCCTGTGTTCTGGCCTCTCTCTCCAGCTCTGCTTGGGTTCTCCATACTCTATCAAAGGAACTTAACTTGAACATGACAGTTTCCTGGTTAAAACCTTCAGGGGATTAACATTTGCCATTAGGATACAACCCAGACCCCTCAATGTGACTTATAGGGTGTGATATGACCTCTCAGCCTCATCTCCTCTTTTCCTGCTCTGTTGTAGTCACACTGTACCCCTTTGAGTTGCTCAAGCACCATGCTCTTTCTGGCTTCAGGTCTTTGCACAGGTGTTTCCTTCTACCTAGGGGGCACTCATATCCTGTGTCTCTCTAGTAACCCCACCTTGATCCTACTTCTTTGCTCATTCCAACTCATCCTTGAGGCCTCAGTGAAGATATTGCCTCCTCCAGGAAGCCTTCCTTGACTCCCAGGATGGGAGAGATGATCCTTCTTGGTGCTCCCCTAGTATTTTGTACTCTCCTATCACAGAAACGTATTACAGAATGTCGGATACGCCTGGATATGTGTCCTATCAAGCTATAAATGTGTAGCTTCATGGACTGTGTCTTAACTTTCCACCATCATATATCTCAAGGGCCTGGGGCAGTGCCTGGAACACAATAGGTATTCAATAAATAAGTGCGTAAGCCAACACACCCACCTATACTGCTGGCTGCTGTATCACTGGGTCAGGGAGGGTGCTCCAGGGGCTCTGGGTGGCCAGGCCCAGTCCTCCAGGGACTGGCTGGCGGTGGATCAAGCCCTAACCTCAGCCCCGTTCCCCACCCTGTAGCAGCAGCCGAGGCGACGCAGGAGACAGTGGAGTCCCTGATGCAGAAGTTCAAGGAGAGTTTCCGTGCTAACACGCCCATCGACATCAGTCAGCTGCAGCACGCACCCCGCAGCGGCTCGGCAGGAAAGCGGAAACGCAGGAGCAAGTCTCGAGGTAGGCATCAGCGGGCTGTGCCCAGGTTCTGAAGATACCAAGAGCGGTGCCCTCGTCCCGTGCTTCCCTGTTCTCACGGAACTCGTGCTGCTCTCCGCCTGATGGATCCTCTCAGCGGAGGCCTTGGGGACAGCAGATGTGCGCCCCTGGGTGGAGAGCTAAGGGCTCTGAGCCCCAGCTGCTTCATCTGAGAATGGGAATAAATCATCCATCTTTTAGAGTGGTTAAAAAAAATTAGTAATAGTCTATGGAAAGTACCTAGCACAGGACCTGAGTGCAGTTAAATTGGAGCTAGTGTCATTCTGAAGCATGAAGGAGAGGCGGATGGTTATGATAGTGGAAGAATCCTCAGGCTGGGATTCCAGAGCAGAGTTCCGGCTCATTTTTGATAGTCTGAATAATATGACGGTCGAGAGATGGAGCGTTGTAAATTAGAGTTAGATTCCAGTTTTGGTACATATTTGCATTTGAATTTTTGTTCAAATTCAAATGAAGTAATCCTGTCACCTTGGACTGGTCACTCGACTTCTCCAATACACGCCCATCTCACAGCGTTGTTATACTATCTCAGCACAGTGCCCAGCCCACCACACAATAAAAAGTAGATCTTTCCCTCATTGTCCTTCTCGTCCTCCTCCCTTTCTCTCCTCCACATCATCATCTTCTTCCTCTGACAACCAGTGTGACTTTGTATATGGGACAAACCCCCTGTCATTGCCTGATTCCAAATCCATCTCATTTCTTTCAGTCCACTCCTCGTAGGATGGTCACTTTTTTTGTTGTTGTTGTTTTTTTTTTTTTTTGCCTCTCACTTCTCTAGTTCCTACTAACCTGCCTTCGATGATGATGTCACTCTTCTCTCAGAGCTTCTGTGGTTGTCCAGTCCCTTCAGAAGTGTCCAGGCTTAAGAAGATGATGCTCAAGGCCTCCGCAGAGCTCCGATCTCTCCTCTAAACCCGTGCTTTCCACGCTGACGTTCTTTTCTATGGCATCATCTCCACCTGTAATCTCCTAGGTGGACCCTGAGAATAATTGTTGTCACTTATTGACCCTTGTTCCAGGCAGCAAGCTAAATGCTACATGCATCTTATCCCATTTGACCCTCAGCAACCCTAAGCAGCAGGTATAATGACGGTTTCCATTTTGCAGATGAAATCACTGAGTCACCGATTGTTGGGGGAGGCTGACCAAAGGGATACCCAAGTGGGGTAGTACAGCCGGGAAGAACTAAGCAGTCTGAGTTCCAGACTTGTTAACTAAACCACTGTGTTCTATACGCGCGACGTCCTACTGGTCTTTGCAAGATTAGCTTGAATGGCACGTTTCCATGAAGACATCACTGATTGTCACAGTCTCCCACATGGGAATTCCCCCACATCTTTATACAGGTGTTAAATGCTGACTTCATTTTTGTGTAATGCAATTTGCTTTGGTCTGTCTCTCTCCTTAGCTAGACGTCGAGTCCTTGGAAGGCGGGAACTGTCTTATTGTTTGAAACATCTTTGCCTTTTTGGCAAAGTCAGTGCCTGCACATGTGGTAGACACTCGCTGTTTGTTGAGAAAATGTCAAGGTCTCAGTCCTGTGAAACGCTGTCTCCAGTGAAACACCAAGATCTTCTCACTAAGCGGAGGTCTTAAATCGAGGCAGACGGTGACGATGGAAGTTTCTTTATGGAACACACGTAGTAAAGCCCAGGCTGAACTGTGAGTGATAAAGAGCAGTTGCTTTGAGGTCAGCTAATCGCAGCTAATGTGGCCGGCTAACCCCAGCCCAGTCCATTTCAGCTTGTGTGGCTTTGGAAGAGTCATCGGATGTCGCTGAGCCTCAGTTTCCCCTTGTGTAGAAAGAGGATGCCAAGCCCAAATCAGAGGACTGCTGTAAGGATCTGATGAGATGAAGGCAGGCTACCTTGCAGTGCTCAGCTAATATTTACCAGGAGCTGAAGAAAGCCTGGCTTATATTCTTCTTTCTGGGTTGGGCGTGCAGGGTCACTTGTAATTTTGCCCAGCCATCCCTATCCGTCTTTCCTCTTCCACCATTCACCAAGAATCACCCTCCTATATCCCTACCACTCCAGCCCCCATAAACACAATGGATTCCAAGTCCATAACCTCTCCTCTCTTTACTACCAGCCTGAATTCATTTCCTTAGTGTCGTTTCCTGAACATTTTTTATGTCACTGAATTCTTGGCCCCAATTTTCCCTGTTGTGCAGCACAACTGTCTTAACCAGGCCCCTGTTGTTAAGGCGTTTAGGCTGTTTCTAACATGTCACCATTATAAACAATGCCACATGCAACTTTTTTTTCTTTTTGGTGAAAAACTTGGCCTTCATTTTGGAGCCTGTTTCCTTCTCTTACAGCAGAATTTCAGAATTAGATTATTCAAGAAAATCTGCTGCTTGAATTAGACTGATATTGGATATCAAGTTATTTTATTACATGGAGCCTAAGAAAACTAATGCAGGAAGAAATTCATTCTTCCCCTCAACGAATGTCAAGTCTGTCCTCCCTTTCTTTGTCACCATTAGCCACTGCCACCTCTCAACTCTGACTTGCAGCTATACCCTCCTTGCGATTCTGCCTCCCCCAAAGCAGCTAGAGTAGCCTTTTTAGAAACGTAAACCAGACAAGGTTGCTCTTCTGCTTCACATCATTCAGTGTTTGCTGTTATCCTCAGAACACAGTCCAAACTCCGTTCCATGGTTGATAGACCCTGTTCTCTCTGGATCTGGCTTCTGCCCTCTTCACTCACTTGGCATGTCCTTGAAATGCAGACACCCAGACTTCCTTCGTGTTGCACGAACACATCAGATGGTTCCCCGCTTCAGAGCTGAGCACTTGCCGCTCCTTCTCCTTGCTGTGCTTCTGTTCACTCCCCAGCTGCTCTCCCGGATGGCCCCTTCTCACCTTTCAACTCTCAGTCCCAGTGTCCGCTCCTTGGAACTGTCTTCCATGACAACCCAGTCTAATGTTTTACCCCTTTCCATCCCCAACCTGCTAGTATCTGTCACATCAGCCTTTTTCCTTCTGTGATAAATGTGATGGTCTAACATGGCTTTTATTTGTTTGCTTGTTTACTGTCTTCCTCTCTAAAATATGTTTCATGTTCTTAAACCTGATACCTAAAAAAGTGTTTGATACATGTTTGTTGAATAAATGAGCACGTTAACTTCAAAGATCATTGGAAGGTGGCCAAGTTTTATAACTTTCAAATCGATGGTGTAAGAGGGATCCTGGTACAGACCTCCAGGGAATCCGTTTCCCCTAGAGATAGACTCACTGATGCACAGCATAGTAAATGTGCTCAAGTGGATGCTGCTAAAACAGTTTTTAAGATGGCTTAATAACACTACACTCGTGATTTGACTGCCACCATTGCATAAGGTATTTGCAAGAGAGAGTAAGGATGGTGTGCCTCAGCCCTGCACTTCCCAACTCACACACTTACCACTGCAGGTCCTTAAGATTGTCTTGGACAAAAGAATTGCATGGTTCATAAAAGTTTGGGGAGTTGTTAACACTTGCGTCTCCTCTTGGAAATTCGTGAATGCATCTTAGACTCTTAAAGACCCTGGGAAGTCCAGCACTACAGAAAGCTGGATTGCGTCATTTAGCTCAACGTCTGAGACACCATCTTGACCACACACTATCCCACCCCCCAGAACAGTTGTTAACATGCTGAGGAACAGAAGTAACCATAGAAACACAATTTTGGATGTGCTCCATTAGCCTGCGCTGATCATCAAAAAGCCCAAATACCATGGTCTAAATCCTCCGCCTGTCCCTGTCTCTCCTCTCTTCCTGCCACTTAGGTGGCAGGGGGCCTTCTGGGCTCTGGCCTCTCCCTGCTTCATGAGCCTTCGCGCCCAGCCCCTGGTGCCCAGAGGTACGGCACAGAAAGCCGTTGTCATGGAGTTGAGCACATGGTTAAAAGCAGCTCCAGTGTGTTTCTGTAGCCATGGCTTACTCAGGAGAGGCCTGCCAGCTGCTGAAGTGCATCGTCCTTAGGCAGACAGGAAGGCAGCGGAGGACTTGATTGCTGCCATCCTGTCCGTGGTGGGGTTTGACGGGGCCGCTCTTGGTTAGCCCCTCCCCCAAGTCCATGGGCAGTGTGAAGGAGACCTTGGCATTCACATAAAGCAGGGTNAGGGACTTATACCTAAAAATAACTTGCACATTTGCCCACTTCCCTATCTCTACTAATCTACTGCTTCTGTGTCTCCTCTCTCTGCTACTCTACCTGCCTCTCTGTCTAACTCTACTACCCTATCCAGGCTCCCATCGTTTCATATGTGAGCTTCTGCGCCATCTTCCCAGTCCATCTTCTCACTTCATTTTCTGCCCTTCTCCAGTGAATTCTCTCTGCTGCCGAAAGGAGCTTCCCTAAATGAAAATATGACCACTTCAGACTCCAATCTAAAACCTTCAGCATGTTCTATCGTTAACAAGGCCCAGAAGGGTTAGGGTTAGGGTTTTAGGGTTAGGATTAGGGTTAGGGTTAGGAGTAGACATCTTCAACACCATCTCAGGCCACTTGCTTGCAGTGGCTCATGCCCAGTGGCTATTGCAGCGCCATTTGATATTCCTCCTCCTAAGGCAGCGGTTCTCAACCTGTGGATCGTGACCCCTTTGGGGGTCGTACGACCCTTTCACAGGGGTCGCCTAAGACCATCGGAAAACAAAAAGATACTTACATTATGATTTATAACAGTAGCAAAATTACAGTTATAGAGTAGCAACGAAAATAATTTTATGATTGGGGGTCACCACAACATGAGGAACTGTATGAAGGGGTCGCGGCATTAAGAAGGTTGAGAACTGCTGTTCTAAGGGGTCTTTGTTTCGACTCTTCACTCTGCCTCTTTTGCTCTTTCCACATCATTCCCTGACCCCTGTCACTTCTTTCCCACCTGATTAACTCATACTTTTCTCAGGACTTCACGCTGCTCACTTCCTTAAAAACAGTTTCCATGACTTTCCTAGACTGAGTCATATCCCTCTTACATAGAGCCTCTTACATCATCTTTCAGCTTTCCTTCCTTGTATATATTGGTAATTTCATTAATATTGGCCTCCCTGTCTGTATGGTGGGCATCGTGAGGGGGTTTTGTTTGTTTGTTTTCACCATTGTACCTTATTATGAACTGCATGCTTGTGTCCCCCGCAAATTTGTATATTAAAGCCTTTATTTCCAGTGTGATGAGGTATTAATCTCCTTGGGCCGCCATAACAAAACGCCATAAATTGGGTTGCTGAAACAACAGAAATGAATTTTCTCACAGTTCTGGGGACCAGAAGTCTAAGATCAGGACGCCAGCATGGCTGGGGGCTGGCTTTTAGATGGTTGCCTCGTCACTGTGCTCACGTGGCCTTTCGTCTCTGTGTACCCATGGAGAGTCTCTCCCTCATTTTTACGAAGACACTAATCCTATTGAATTAGGCCCCCACCCTGATGACGTCATTTACCTTTATCTACTAAAAGCCCAATCTCCAAATGCAGCCACTTTGAGGCTTAAGGCCTCAACTTAGGAAATTTGCGGGTACAGAGTTTAATCCACAGCAGACCGTACGCTGAATTGCTCTGGAGTTTTGACCACAGGATAGCACAGCTCCTACAATCTGTGGTAAATCACTCTCCTGTCTGGGTCTGAAGCATCAGTATTGGGCATGACAGTGCTTCTCAGAACAGGACTATAGCCACTCGCTCGAGGGCTCCGCATCACGGGCTTAGAGTAGGGACCCACGTTTGGGATCTTCTTGGCTCACCTTTACGTAGACCTAATTGACGTATCTGCAGAGAGGGATAGCAAGACAGGCGTGTGAGGACATTATAATGTCACCACATGGTTTGTCTGTATTGTAAATTCACTTTTCCTTAGCATAGATTCCCCACTGTGTCCCCAAAGATGGGGCTTCTCACAGAGCCCAGTGCCCAAACCAGCCTTCTGGGTACGAGCTACCCTGCCGACACATCCATCTAAGCTGATGGCTTTCCTGGGAAAACAGGAGCTGCTTAGAAACTGGTGTTGCTATGTCACCAAGCCTTCTTTGTCCTGTCTCGTGGAACCCCTTCAAAGAAACAGGAACCTGTGGCACGTCCCATCTCTTGGCATCAGACCGCAGGCAGCGTAAACTGAAGAAATAGCCTTGCCTCTAAAGATGTGGATGGAGGGAGGGCTGAGTTTGAAGATTTCAAAGCCGGGTCTCTCTTTGGGAATGTCTCAGAACAAAGGCACTGAGGCCATTCAGCCATGTTCCTTTTCTTCCTTCTCCTTCCCTCTCCTTGCCTTTTATGTGGCCTTTCTCCTTCCTTCTCAAGCTTTTCTGCTTTTTTTTTTCTTTTATCTTTTAACCTTTTCTCTCTGCCCTCCTGACTGTACTCTCTCCATTGTCTGGAACTTTCTAGTATTTTCTGGTTTGAAATTTTGTGGCTACTAACAAATCACTGGATGGTATAGATACAGTGGAACATTGGACTAGGAATTAGAAGGCTTGACTTTGCCACTTTCTAGCTTGGACTAAGCCGTATGCTTTGTTGGGGGTGGGGTGGGGGGGGATGCTGATTTCTTTAAGTAAATTTACTGAAGTAAAATAGTGATATTGTAACCAAGTGATCTACGTATCACAGTACTGCAGTTTTGTCTCCTACAATTTTGTCCGACCCACATACTGCTGCTATCTACCCTCGCTGTACTGTTCTGGCTCAGTCCACCATTGTCTCCGGCTGGCTCCTGCAAAAGCCTGTGTTCTGGCCTCTCTCTCCAGCTCTGCTTGGGTTCTCCATACTCTATCAAAGGAACTTAACTTGAACATGACAGTTTCCTGGTTAAAACCTTCAGGGGATTAACATTTGCCATTAGGATACAACCCAGACCCCTCAATGTGACTTATAGGGTGTGATATGACCTCTCAGCCTCATCTCCTCTTTTCCTGCTCTGTTGTAGTCACACTGTACCCCTTTGAGTTGCTCAAGCACCATGCTCTTTCTGGCTTCAGGTCTTTGCACAGGTGTTTCCTTCTACCTAGGGGGCACTCATATCCTGTGTCTCTCTAGTAACCCCACCTTGATCCTACTTCTTTGCTCATTCCAACTCATCCTTGAGGCCTCAGTGAAGATATTGCCTCCTCCAGGAAGCCTTCCTTGACTCCCAGGATGGGAGAGATGATCCTTCTTGGTGCTCCCCTAGTATTTTGTACTCTCCTATCACAGAAACGTATTACAGAATGTCGGATACGCCTGGATATGTGTCCTATCAAGCTATAAATGTGTAGCTTCATGGACTGTGTCTTAACTTTCCACCATCATATATCTCAAGGGCCTGGGGCAGTGCCTGGAACACAATAGGTATTCAATAAATAAGTGCGTAAGCCAACACACCCACCTATACTGCTGGCTGCTGTATCACTGGGTCAGGGAGGGTGCTCCAGGGGCTCTGGGTGGCCAGGCCCAGTCCTCCAGGGACTGGCTGGCGGTGGATCAAGCCCTAACCTCAGCCCCGTTCCCCACCCTGTAGCAGCAGCCGAGGCGACGCAGGAGACAGTGGAGTCCCTGATGCAGAAGTTCAAGGAGAGTTTCCGTGCTAACACGCCCATCGACATCAGTCAGCTGCAGCACGCACCCCGCAGCGGCTCGGCAGGAAAGCGGAAACGCAGGAGCAAGTCTCGAGGTAGGCATCAGCGGGCTGTGCCCAGGTTCTGAAGATACCAAGAGCGGTGCCCTCGTCCCGTGCTTCCCTGTTCTCACGGAACTCGTGCTGCTCTCCGCCTGATGGATCCTCTCAGCGGAGGCCTTGGGGACAGCAGATGTGCGCCCCTGGGTGGAGAGCTAAGGGCTCTGAGCCCCAGCTGCTTCATCTGAGAATGGGAATAAATCATCCATCTTTTAGAGTGGTTAAAAAAAATTAGTAATAGTCTATGGAAAGTACCTAGCACAGGACCTGAGTGCAGTTAAATTGGAGCTAGTGTCATTCTGAAGCATGAAGGAGAGGCGGATGGTTATGATAGTGGAAGAATCCTCAGGCTGGGATTCCAGAGCAGAGTTCCGGCTCATTTTTGATAGTCTGAATAATATGACGGTCGAGAGATGGAGCGTTGTAAATTAGAGTTAGATTCCAGTTTTGGTACATATTTGCATTTGAATTTTTGTTCAAATTCAAATGAAGTAATCCTGTCACCTTGGACTGGTCACTCGACTTCTCCAATACACGCCCATCTCACAGCGTTGTTATACTATCTCAGCACAGTGCCCAGCCCACCACACAATAAAAAGTAGATCTTTCCCTCATTGTCCTTCTCGTCCTCCTCCCTTTCTCTCCTCCACATCATCATCTTCTTCCTCTGACAACCAGTGTGACTTTGTATATGGGACAAACCCCCTGTCATTGCCTGATTCCAAATCCATCTCATTTCTTTCAGTCCACTCCTCGTAGGATGGTCACTTTTTTTGTTGTTGTTGTTTTTTTTTTTTTTTGCCTCTCACTTCTCTAGTTCCTACTAACCTGCCTTCGATGATGATGTCACTCTTCTCTCAGAGCTTCTGTGGTTGTCCAGTCCCTTCAGAAGTGTCCAGGCTTAAGAAGATGATGCTCAAGGCCTCCGCAGAGCTCCGATCTCTCCTCTAAACCCGTGCTTTCCACGCTGACGTTCTTTTCTATGGCATCATCTCCACCTGTAATCTCCTAGGTGGACCCTGAGAATAATTGTTGTCACTTATTGACCCTTGTTCCAGGCAGCAAGCTAAATGCTACATGCATCTTATCCCATTTGACCCTCAGCAACCCTAAGCAGCAGGTATAATGACGGTTTCCATTTTGCAGATGAAATCACTGAGTCACAGATTGTTGGGGGAGGCTGACCAAAGGGATACCCAAGTGGGGTAGTACAGCCGGGAAGAACTAAGCAGTCTGAGTTCCAGACTTGTTAACTAAACCACTGTGTTCTATACGCGCGACGTCCTACTGGTCTTTGCAAGATTAGCTTGAATGGCACGTTTCCATGAAGACATCACTGATTGTCACAGTCTCCCACATGGGAATTCCCCCACATCTTTATACAGGTGTTAAATGCTGACTTCATTTTTGTGTAATGCAATTTGCTTTGGTCTGTCTCTCTCCTTAGCTAGACGTCGAGTCCTTGGAAGGCGGGAACTGTCTTATTGTTTGAAACATCTTTGCCTTTTTGGCAAAGTCAGTGCCTGCACATGTGGTAGACACTCGCTGTTTGTTGAGAAAATGTCAAGGTCTCAGTCCTGTGAAACGCTGTCTCCAGTGAAACACCAAGATCTTCTCACTAAGCGGAGGTCTTAAATCGAGGCAGACGGTGACGATGGAAGTTTCTTTATGGAACACACGTAGTAAAGCCCAGGCTGAACTGTGAGTGATAAAGAGCAGTTGCTTTGAGGTCAGCTAATCGCAGCTAATGTGGCCGGCTAACCCCAGCCCAGTCCATTTCAGCTTGTGTGGCTTTGGAAGAGTCATCGGATGTCGCTGAGCCTCAGTTTCCCCTTGTGTAGAAAGAGGATGCCAAGCCCAAATCAGAGGACTGCTGTAAGGATCTGATGAGATGAAGGCAGGCTACCTTGCAGTGCTCAGCTAATATTTACCAGGAGCTGAAGAAAGCCTGGCTTATATTCTTCTTTCTGGGTTGGGCGTGCAGGGTCACTTGTAATTTTGCCCAGCCATCCCTATCCGTCTTTCCTCTTCCACCATTCACCAAGAATCACCCTCCTATATCCCTACCACTCCAGCCCCCATAAACACAATGGATTCCAAGTCCATAACCTCTCCTCTCTTTACTACCAGCCTGAATTCATTTCCTTAGTGTCGTTTCCTGAACATTTTTTATGTCACTGAATTCTTGGCCCCAATTTTCCCTGTTGTGCAGCACAACTGTCTTAACCAGGCCCCTGTTGTTAAGGCGTTTAGGCTGTTTCTAACATGTCACCATTATAAACAATGCCACATGCAACTTTTTTTTCTTTTTGGTGAAAAACTTGGCCTTCATTTTGGAGCCTGTTTCCTTCTCTTACAGCAGAATTTCAGAATTAGATTATTCAAGAAAATCTGCTGCTTGAATTAGACTGATATTGGATATCAAGTTATTTTATTACATGGAGCCTAAGAAAACTAATGCAGGAAGAAATTCATTCTTCCCCTCAACGAATGTCAAGTCTGTCCTCCCTTTCTTTGTCACCATTAGCCACTGCCACCTCTCAACTCTGACTTGCAGCTATACCCTCCTTGCGATTCTGCCTCCCCCAAAGCAGCTAGAGTAGCCTTTTTAGAAACGTAAACCAGACAAGGTTGCTCTTCTGCTTCACATCATTCAGTGTTTGCTGTTATCCTCAGAACACAGTCCAAACTCCGTTCCATGGTTGATAGACCCTGTTCTCTCTGGATCTGGCTTCTGCCCTCTTCACTCACTTGGCATGTCCTTGAAATGCAGACACCCAGACTTCCTTCGTGTTGCACGAACACATCAGATGGTTCCCCGCTTCAGAGCTGAGCACTTGCCGCTCCTTCTCCTTGCTGTGCTTCTGTTCACTCCCCAGCTGCTCTCCCGGATGGCCCCTTCTCACCTTTCAACTCTCAGTCCCAGTGTCCGCTCCTTGGAACTGTCTTCCATGACAACCCAGTCTAATGTTTTACCCCTTTCCATCCCCAACCTGCTAGTATCTGTCACATCAGCCTTTTTCCTTCTGTGATAAATGTGATGGTCTAACATGGCTTTTATTTGTTTGCTTGTTTACTGTCTTCCTCTCTAAAATATGTTTCATGTTCTTAAACCTGATACCTAAAAAAGTGTTTGATACATATTTGTTGAATAAATGAGCACGTTAACTTCAAAGATCATTGGAAGGTGGCCAAGTTTTATAACTTTCAAATCGATGGTGTAAGAGGGATCCTGGTACAGACCTCCAGGGAATCCGTTTCCCCTAGAGATAGACTCACTGATGCACAGCACAGTAAATGTGCTCAAGTGGATGCTGCTAAAACAGTTTTTAAGATGGCTTAATAACACTACACTCGTGATTTGACTGCCACCATTGCATAAGGTATTTGCAAGAGAGAGTAAGGATGGTGTGCCTCAGCCCTGCACTTCCCAACTCACACACTTACCACTGCAGGTCCTTAAGATTGTCTTGGACAAAAGAATTGCATGGTTCATAAAAGTTTGGGGAGTTGTTAACACTTGCGTCTCCTCTTGGAAATTCGTGAATGCATCTTAGACTCTTAAAGACCCTGGGAAGTCCAGCACTACAGAAAGCTGGATTGCGTCATTTAGCTCAACGTCTGAGACACCATCTTGACCACACACTATCCCACCCCCCAGAACAGTTGTTAACATGCTGAGGAACAGAAGTAACCATAGAAACACAATTTTGGATGTGCTCCATTAGCCTGCGCTGATCATCAAAAAGCCCAAATACCATGGTCTAAATCCTCCGCCTGTCCCTGTCTCTCCTCTCTTCCCGCCACTTAGGTGGCAGGGGGCCTTCTGGGCTCTGGCCTCTCCCTGCTTCATGAGCCTTCGCGCCCAGCCCCTGGTGCCCAGAGGTACGGCACAGAAAGCCGTTGTCATGGAGTTGAGCACATGGTTAAAAGCAGCTCCAGTGTGTTTCTGTAGCCATGGCTTACTCAGGAGAGGCCTGCCAGCTGCTGAAGTGCATCGTCCTTAGGCAGACAGGAAGGCAGCGGAGGACTTGATTGCTGCCATCCTGTCCGTGGTGGGGTTTGACGGGGCCGCCCTTGGTTAGCCCCTCCCCCAAGTCCATGGGCAGTGTGAAGGAGACCTTGGCATTCACATAAAGCAGGGTGAGCGTTCTTTGAGGGTGAGGAAGAGCTTCCTGAGGTTCATGCAGTGTAGGCAGTGGTCTTTAAAAGTAGGGCTTCGTATTTGAAATTTAGTTCAACCATTGCCTAATTAATTGAATGATCTCAAGCAACGAAGAAGCTGTGTTTAGCCTCAGTTTTCTCATCTGTAAAATGGTGTTAAAATATGAAAATCACATGTGGGTTCTGAGGCAATACCTGCAACATGCTTAGCCCAGTGCCTGGCTCCTGGTCAACCATCCACGAAGAGGAGCTAATATTGTCCTTGTCATTCAGGGTCCTGCACATTTGGTCTCCGGAGGCTCACACGCCCATCCCCTCCACTCTGGGCCATCAGTTGAGGTTTCATTATTGCTCATCCAGATTCTTCCAGCAGCCTCTTCACTCACTAAGCCATCTTCCACCCTGATGGCTGAAGTGATCTTTTGAAAACATGACACTAAATCTGGCCATGTCACTCTCCTGCCCAGGACAGTTTCCTGATATTCTGTCACTTGCATTCTCAAGCTTTTGCAGTAAAGTTCCCTCCAGGCAGATGAGAAGCCACACACCCCAAAAGGGCCTGCAGCTGTGCTCGAACGGCATCAGTCATGAGCCCCAAATCCCAGGTTCCATCTTTAAACAAAAAGTCCATGACAGTCTATTTCATAATATGTACCTGCTTATTTTAAAGGATGTTACATTATTTATCAGTTAAGTAATTGAACATTGTCTCAAGTCTTTAGGTGATAGTCATGTCCCAGGAATAGGAACCGTGTTTATGCTGATATGCTTATAATGCACCATCTTCTAAGGGTTTCCATAGGATCAAATGATGTAAGGCCCATAAAGCACTG